TACAGGATAAAGGATGATTTTCTCTTCCTTTCCTATCCAGTATTGGCGCCACACACATGGATAGGAATCCCTAGCATGGCCGGCCACAAGGGATAAGGGATAGAGGAGAATTTTGGTTCGAAATTCAAATTGGAGATAGAGATTGGATTCTTTCTAGAAGTTTGACTTCTACTCTATAAATACTATTTTTGAGACAATTTTCGGAATGATTTTTTGCCCTAATTTTAGAGGTAGCCGAAATTTCTCTGTAGATATTTTGGAAACAATTTTTCAGCCCTAAGGGTTAAGGCTGGCCGAAATTTTCAAGAGAGAAAAGAAGGAAAAATTTTTCTCCAAAAATTCCACATCGTGCATGTGATGGTGTTCGTGGAAATTTAAGTGTTTATTGTAACCCGTTTTGTCTCATGTGTGCCCACACACACGTCTTCGTGGATTCTAGGAATTGATGTGGAAGACATTGGTTTTCTAAACACAAAGATTGGAGCAAGGACTGTTTGTGGTCAAAGAACTCAAGTTATCATCCGAGTCGGCTTCCAGGTATTTTTCCTGATTGAGTTCTTGATATATATAAGTTAATGAGATTAATTTATTCGTGCATAAATTAATATAATCTATAGAGTATCTCAAAAGTTTTGTGAAAATTTTTGTTATACACGATCCGCCTCTTCCCCGCACCACCGCGCTTCCGCACCCGAATTCGATTCGGGCAACCAACAGAGCTTCCATCGTGGTGACTCGTCGGCTTCCTCGACCTCAACTGGTAGCCATGTGAACTCTGCCACGAAGTCGGCTAGGGCTTGGCCCTTGATAGCAGTCCGTGGTTTGTAATCGATGTCGAACTGGCTGAGCTCTATGGACCATTTAAGGAGTCGACCAGAGGCGTCGGGCTTTTGTAGCACCTGTCTGAGGGGATGATTGGTCAATACCTGAATGCCATGGGCCGGGAAGTAGTGCCGTAACTTTCTCGTTGTTACAACTAGCGCGAGGGCGCGCTTTGCCATCTGGGGATACCTCGTCTCCGCGTCGAGGAGGCGCTTGCTAGTGTAATACACCGGTAGCTGCACCTTCTTCTCTTCGTGGATTAACACCGAACTAACGGCGTGCTCCGAGACCGCCAGGTAAAGGCTCAGTACCTCCCCGGTCACAGGTTTGGACATCATAGGGGGTTTGCCAAGGTGTTCCTTCAGTTGTTGGAATGCCTTTTCGCACTCTTCCGTCCATAGAAACGGCTTGCTTCCCCTCAGGGTGTCAAAGAACGGTACGCACTTATCTGTGGATTTGGAGATGAACCTATTAAGTGCGGCCACACAGCCTGTCAGCTTCTGGACCTCCTTAGGCTTCCTTGGCGATGCCATGTCGAGGAGGGCCTGAATCTTTTGCGGATTGGCCTCGATTCCTCGACTGCTCACCATGAAACCCAAAAACTTCCCTGAAACGACGCCGAAGGCACACTTTCGAGGGTTCAGCTTCATTTTGTACGCTCTGATAACACCGAACATTCTTCCCAGGTCCTCCTCATGGTCTTTGGTATTCCTGCTCTTTACCAGCATATCGTCGACGTAGACCTCCATAGTCTTTCCTATCTGCCCCGCAAACATCTTGTTGACGAGGCATTGGTAGGTCGCTCCAGCATTCTTGAGACCGAAGGGCATCACTCGGTAACAGTAGAGCCCTTTGTCGGTGACAAACGCCGTGTGCTCTTCATCACAGTCGAGCATTGGTATCTGGTTATACCCAGAGTATGCGTCCATGAAGCTCAGTAGCTCGTGTCCTGCCGTGGCGTCGACCAACTGGTCGATTCGGGGTAGTGGGAAGTTGTCCTTAGGACAGGCTTTATTCAAGTCACTGAAGTCGACACACGTTCACCACTCCCCGTTTGGCTTCCTTACCATGACAGGATTTGACACCCATTCTGGGTATAAGACTTCTCGGATGTAGTTGTTCCTCATGAGCTTGTTTACCTCTACCCGTAGGGCTTCGGACCTCTCGGCGTTCATTGGTCGACGCTTCTGTCTCTTTGGCGGAAACTTGTCGTCGATGTTCAACCGGTGACACATGACGCCGGGGCTTATCCCTTCCATGTCCTCGTGGGTCCAGGCGAACACATCGAGGCTTCCTTTGAGAAACTCGACCAATTTTTCCCGGTCCTGTGCCCCCAACTCCGAGCCTATCCTCAGTGCTCTCGTTGGGTCGCTTTCATCGATGGGGACCTCAATTAGTTCCTCGACCGGTCCTGCTCCGGGCTCTTCTCCTGGGAACCTTGGATCCAAGTCGAGTCCCTTTCCCTTGGTCTCGACCATTCGTAGCTCTCTCTGTACCTGAGTCGGCTCGGCGTAGTGGCGGACGATTTCTGAGTACGTGAGTCTTGACTCGTACTGGTTGCCTCTGACCTTGCCGATCCTGTTTGGCGCGGGGAACTTCATCACCTGATGGTAGATGGACGTTACCGCCCGTAAGGCCCTCAGGGTCGGGCGTCCGATGACCGCGTTGTATTGGTTGCCTCCCTTCACCACTAGGAACTTTGACATAACGGTCGAGGTGTGTGGTCGGTCACCGATGGTCATTGGCAGCTCGATGGCCCCTTCCGGGATGACGTTGTCTCCCGTGAACCCGTACAGTGGCTAGGCACTGTTCTGCAGCCTTGAGCGGGGAATCCCCATCTTGTCGAGGCAGTCCGCGTACAAGATGTCCATGGAACTACCGTTGTCGACCAGGATACGACAAACCGTATAGGTACCGATCACGGCCTCGACTACCAAGGCGTCGCTCTGGGGAAAATGTATCCCCCTCGCGTCGGCTTTCGAGAAAGTGATCTCGGCGTCCTCATATCGCGCGGCCTTAGCCTCGCGTCCTGAGATGTTCATGATCCTCTGGCTGAACTTCTCCTTCGCCTCTCGAGCGTACTCCTTCTGTGCGCGTCGAGAGGTACTGCCGAGGTATGGTCCCCCGAAGATCGTTCTTATGACGCCAACTGGTTTGGGCTGGTTATCGCACCTCTGCTCGTCCTGTCGGTCGTCGTTGCGCCTGTTGTTGTTCCAGCGCTTAGCTCGGTATTCGCCTAGCCTCCCTTCCCGGATCAGCCTCTCGACCTCATCCCTCAGGTCGTAGAACTCGGCCGTGGTGTGACCACTCTCACCGTGGAAACGGCAGTATTTGTTCTGGTTTCTCCGCGCCGGGTCAGACTTTAGGGGTGGAGGTCGACGCAGGACCTGGAGATGGCTGATCTCGTGGTAGACGTCCTCAATCCCCATATTCAGGGGAGTGTAGGCATCGTACTGCTGCGGCTTGGGCCGCTTGGTCTCCCCCTGGCTCGTCGAGGCGTTACCGCCCCTGTTGCTCAGAGCTGGGTTGTACCTTGGCTCGACTTGCACCTGAGGAGGGCCTCAGCGCTTCTTGCTGTTGTTCTGACTGCTAGCCTGCCTTACCTCCTCCTTGGCAGGGGTTGCCGCCTTGCTCTTTAAGGCCTTCTTAGCCTCCTCGGCGTTTATGAACCCCTGCGCCCTTGTCAGGAATTCCTGATAGGTGTGGGGCGGTCTTCGATCGAGGTCTGTGCTGTAGGGGATGTCCTTCTTCATGCTGGACAGCGCCCCCATCAGGGCCACTTCATCAGAGATTCCTTCAGTGGCGGTAACCTGTTCCCCGAACCGGGCTATCCAGTCCTTCAGGGACTCGTTAGGTCCCTGGTATACCCTCGCCAGGTTCTGTTTTGGCGGGATGTATTTCTTGACACCTATGAACTGAGTCAAAAAGGCGTTCTTCAAATCATCCCAGCTGGTGATGGAATTTGGCTTGAGGGACCTAAACCATCTCCTCGCGGAATCGGAAAGGTGATCCCTGAATGCCCGGCACATCACCTCCTCGGGGTATCCATGCAGGACCATGTGTCCTGTGTACACCTCCAAGTGATCATCCGGGTCACTCCTCCCGTCGTATAACGGAATGGGAGGCGACTTGTACTTGTCAGGAAGTGGGACCCGGATGATGTTTTTCACGAACGGGTGGTCGTGAGACGTATACATCTTGGCGTCGACGTTAACTGCCTCGGCCACCTTTCCCACAACTTGTTCGAAGTTGTTCAGTCGACTCCCCATATGCTTCTCCAACCTAGCCATCTTCTCGGCCAGAGCTTTATTTCTGTTGCGAGCTCATTTTCCCTCGTCAGCTGCACGGCCTTTCCACGTCGGGCGTCGAGCCTTGCCCTCAGGTCCCCGCCATGCACCGACGTGGATCCCACGGGGACGACGTTCCTCCTAGGTGGATTCTTTTGCCGCAGCCTTCTCCCGCGCTCTCCTTCGTGCACGCGTTGCCTGCTCCCTACAGACCGATTCGACTTTGACGGGCATGGATCATTCGCTCGACTGTCAGCGACTTCCTTGGTGTCACCACGTCGGTCGACAATCACTTGGCCCCCAACAGCGGCGTTCACTGGGTTCATCGGCGCATCCTCAAGCGGTGGCATTCGGTTCTGCCCCTGTTCCCGCCCAGCCAAGGCCGTAGCCATTCTTTCCACGGCTGCGGCCAGCGTTTCGACCTGCTTTTGGAGCTGGTCGATACGGTCTGGGGGAGTCGCGGCCGCCGGTGGAAGCGGATCCGTTGAGGTCCCTGCGGTGGTGGTATTCCGAACACGCTTGCCGGGAGGCATGATGACAGTTTCTTTTGGTTCAAAGCTGGGTTAAATTTATGGGCTTCACGCCCTCTTTCTAGCGCCAATTGTTGACGGTGTTTTTCTGACAACTCGAATTACCTCTCCGGAAACGCTCACGGTTGCACTAACCACAGAATCAAATAATAAGCAGTAAAATAATGTAGAAGGGACAAGGATTTTATAGTGGTGCGGCAATAATTTTGTGCCTAATCCACTTGTGCATGCACTATTTTCTCAGATGTTTACAAGTTCTCTCTGTAATACCAATGGTGTCTAACCCCTTTCTGGGTTTCGTTCGTTCTATTTATAGGCCTCTACATTCGATTACATATTCCCGGCTCCCAAGGAGGAAGCCATCTTCTGTTCTCGATCCTCGTGAGGGTAGGTGAGCTTTCATGATGACTTTTCCTAGAAATACGGCTGATCCTCTCAGCCTGCTGCCTGATTTCCTGACTTCTGTAGTAGCAGTCGGATCAATACTTCCCTCCTCGGGTTGACATGACTTCTGGCTAAAAGGACCAACAATGTTCTCTCGACGCAGCGGTCTCAGCACGTAGAGCCCTCGCCCGGCGCCTCTCCTCTTGCGCGATTTCTCGACGCATAGGGCACGTTTGCTACGCCTTACCATCAATGCCAATAGCCGGTCCTCCGCGGGGAGTCCTCGGCGTTGGTCGTTCGAAGGAGTGGTCGATGTCTCGACCATGGTGTAACAGCTACAAATAACTTACTCGACCCCTTTGATTAGAAAAAAATGATATAAATAAATAAAATAACTTACTCTATGTCTTGACATAATTCCCACAATTAATCCAGTCCAAAATTGATGGTCAGCTTATACGTTTGATGGGGAACCAGCATATACCCGTTGAGTTCGACATATATCACGTTTGATTCTAATTTTTTTTTTCAAAATCCAAAATGTATAGATTCTTTTGAACGTTTCAAAAGAGTGAAAGAATAACTTCACCACTTAAACATTTGGAATGCAAAAAAAAAAAAAAAAAAAAAAAAAAAAAAAAAAAACCCTTAGCATTTGACCTGAAAAAGGGAATTATTGAGAGAGAGAGAGAGAGAGAGAGAGAGGAGTAAGGCAAGCCAAGTCACAAAATTGACTTCTGACTTTTTTTTGTGGCCTCTCGCAGGCCCTTATTCTACGGTTCATGGTGCATGTCCTTTTCACTAATTTATATTAGTATTATATTTATTCATTTATGGAAGAAGACTCTGACCCTTCTTCC